GGCAGGACGCAGAGCAGGACCAGGCCGGCACACGGCACGTGGCAGGATGCAGAGCACGACCTGGCTGGCACGCTGCACGTGGCAGGACGCAGAGCCGGACCAGGCCGGCACACGGCACGTGGCAGGACGCAGAGCCAGACCAGGCCGGCACATGGCAGCCTCACATTCTGCTGCTCCGACGGCTGCAGCCAAAAAAGCCAGTAAAAATGACCCTGTGATGGTTGATCTGTGTATAGAACCTGCCCCCTATTTGTCCTCTGAGACACAAGCACCTTTGGGGGGGAACATTTCCTGTTCTGAAAATATTTGACAAACGTTTCCCTGCATTCAAACTCCGGGTGACTAACAGCAGGAAAATCCCAACCACAGCGGCTGGCAGTAACTGCCTGGCCTGGCCCCGCGAGGCTGACCTTTGCCTTGGCCCGATCCGGCCACGTGGGACCCAGCGAGTCTCCCCTCCTCCCTGGGCCTCGGCGCTGTGGTGAAGGCTGCGGGAGCGGAGAGCTCCGACCTGCGATGTCTAGACGCAGACGGTGATGGATGGAGATTTTAACAGGCTGTGGCGGTCGTTCGGACGGCAGGGGAACGGAGGGCAGGCTCGGATGTGTGAAGCAATTATGATGCACCAGACGGAGCCCCGGGGGAGCGATGTTGAAGGCTGGTTTCGAGAACAAAGACCAGATGAGCGGTCGACGCGGTGTCAGTGCAGACGCTGCGTTGCTCACGTTGCCTGTTGCTGGCTTTCAGGGGCCGTGGTGACGGTACAATCGGGGCTGGCGCTCGTGATGCGGACGCACACCGGCGACACGGGAACCCAAGCGTAGACACGCACAAGCGATGTCATTCCCGCAGCGGCCGTGTGCTGACGTTGGGTCGCTTTGATTGTGTAGTGTAGACGTTTGTCCCGGCGAGTGTCATTAATCACTGGAACAATTTCCTGAGGGGCCTGGGGCCTTCTCTGTCAGCGCAGGGTTTAGATCAGGGTTGGCTGGGTTTTTATGGATTGGCGCTGGCGTTATTGGGGGCAGTTCTCCGGCCTGTCCCATGCAGGAGGGCTGGAGTGTGGCTGGCACCGTGAGAACGCTAACAGTCCCCCCCCCATATCTAATCAAAGGGTGAGGGTGGCGCTTACCAAAGGATCCTGCAAGTGGGCGTGAGGGGGACAAACCGGCCGGCAGGCTGCACGTGGCAAGACACAGAGCGGGACCCGGCCACTGGGCGTGGTTGGTGAGGACACGTGTCCTAGACGCCTCGATGCAGGGCAGGTGTCTGGAGTTGCCAGGGTCCCTGGCCCGGGGGGTAACCAGCTTACGTCCCGGCCGAGCCAGCCGCCGGCCCAGCGCAAATCAAACCCACACTGAGCCGCCCCCAGCACCGCCCGCCCCTGGGAGAACCTGCCAGCGTCTGAGCTGTGTCTCAGTACGGTGCCAGCCTGGCACCAGACTCACCAGCGGATCCGCCCCGCAGGGCCCCTTAGATCAGCCGGGGCAACGTCCTGCAGCGCCTGGCCAGACGGTGGCGCTTGCTCCAGGCAGAGAACAGCAGACGCCTGCAAGACCAGTGCCCCCAGCCACTGCAGGGGGTTGGTTGGGGGAGATGTGTGCAGGTGAGCTCAGCAGGTGAGCTGCGCCCCATGCTACAGAGGAAGGCTGGCACAGGGGCACCGTGCTGGGGGCATAGTTGGGGGTGTCGTTATGAGGCTGTTCCCCAGCTGCCCCCCCCCCCCCCCCCCGCTGGTCCCATCTCAGCACCAGGCGAGCCATCCCCGTGCGGTTGCTCCCTCGCTTCCCTGCCCCGGAGGTGGCCGAGTCTCGGTGCTGAGATTGTTAAGGAAGGAAAGCATTAGGGAAACTGGAAATTGGAAATGTACAGTCTGACCACCCACTTTGCCTATGCAAACGATGACTCTGAGTCGTAGTGGGGGCAGGGTACGGCGGGGTTCGGTCAGGTCCGGGCCAGCTGCCATTAACTCAGTTGTGTGTTGTTGTTGTGTGGTTAATCCTCCAGGGAGACCAGGGAAAAGGGGAAGCGCCGAGCTGGGCAGAGATGAAAGGTTAGATCCATCGTCGGGGCAGAGGTTTATTGGGGAAGTCGTTGAACGTAATAGAAAGGGTATTAAACTGGTAAACACGGAGAGAGGCTTGCAGCGGGCAGGGATGCGGAATTAATAACAATAGCTAGGGAGAAATCCCGACCTGCAGCCCCAGCCCTGGGGTCCCCCCTGCAACCCAGCTCTGCTGGTGCCCCTCAGTCCCGACCCACAGACCGCTGCCTTGCCAGCCCTGGGGTCCCCTCGACTCCGGCTCTGCCAGTGCCCCTCAATCCTGACCCGCAGCCCCTGCTCTCCCCGACCCGGGCTCCCCCACCCCCATGCTAGCTCCGCTGGTGCCCCTCAGTCCCGACCCACAGACCGCTGCCTTGCCAGCTCTGGAATACTGGGCGCTGTTTTGTGGCCCGAGAAGGGGATCTTGGAGCCAGGACTCCTGGGTTCTCTCCCTGGCTCGGGGAGGGGGGG